GCATTCACATTTGTTTGTCTGAATGCTCAGTCTTCCACGTTGATATACATTTAAGTGATTTTTGGGTCTCACTAGTTCACAACCCAGTCATCTGTGCTTGTAGTAACTAATTTCATTTATATAGACGTTAGAAATATACTGATGCTACAAGGATAACTGCAATATGGGAAATAGGCTTTGTTAACAATACGTTCAAGTGCAAATTGCCAGTGGAAGTCCTTCAAGTCGTGAAGGCCAGGAGTGTGACTATTAAATACCGATCTTTACAACAGAGGACATGTGTGCTTTAATTAAAGCGACATTAACAACTTCAAGACCAGGTGTTTAGACCCCCTTCCTGGTAAATATTCCCCCCATTCTGCTTTAAGGACTTACCTTAAATTATGTCTCTTGATCTGATCATTTCCACTTGTATTCAGCAATCCCTCCAGCGCTGGTGCCGGTCTCTGATCCACCGCAGACTCCGGTCTCTTCCCGTCCCACGGTGTCTGTCCGAAATGCACGCTCCCAGCTGCAGGCATTCAGCTCCCGTGTCTCTCCTCTTCTCCCCGCCAAAGAACTGTACTGCACATGCACCAGCCCCATCATCCTGCTAGGCCACTCGAGAATCTTCAGATCTTCGGATGGGAGTGAGCGGTTGAGACAGAGGTAAGTAATTACCTTTTTTGGTAACATTTTAACTTTTTTAAATGTTTTTGCATATATCTACTGCTTGCTAGCAGTAGATATATGCAAAAAAACAGAGTTTAAATATACTTTAAGACTCCCTAAATGCTTTACCTTTGTCCTAAGCTATAGTAACCCTCACAATGCTCCGTATCGCAATGCCCAGAGCGGGCTCAGCATACAGCCCAGTGCATGCACCAAGGTAATGATGGGGAGCTTCCACAGACAGCACTGTCAGTCCCTGTCAGCACCTTTGTGTATGCACCACAATCATCACCCTCGAAAATACCACATATTTCACTTGGATACAAATATCCAAGTATAAATATAGATAGGGAAATTTCAGGTAGTGCTCTCTGGGAACTGTACACTTCAATGGGAAAGGCCATGAACAACTTGACAAACTTGATAGGGCATTCTACTGAAGTGAATGGAGAGCAGACTGCAAACTTGCCAGGGATGAGGGACAGCAGATCTTTGCCATGGGGAAAAAACAAATGCATAATCAAGATGCCCATGCTTAAATCTATGCATCTGTTAATACATGAGCATATCTAGCTAGCTTTAGAAGATGCAGACTGGCATTGTATGTTGGTATTAAGTCTGATTTGTAAGGACATTCAGATCTTCCTCCACCATCCCAATCAACGACTGTATTATGCAGTCCGAAATCAGGCTTGTCAGATGCAGTTAAGAGCAAATATTGAAAAAAACAAAACCACTCATAGCAGCCAATCCAAACTAATCCAAACTACTCCCTTAACTGATCTGAAAACAATGAAGTAAAATCTGAATGACTGCTAAGAGATGCTGGAACTGTAGCTATGAAAAAGACTGTGTGCGTTCCCAAATACAACTTTAGGACTAGTATAGATGTAGATTGTGACTATGGTAGCAGAAAGTCAGGATGGCAAAGGAAGGATAATCACTGTATACTGAAGACAGCTGCACAGACATAACAGATGCAGGCTTGCACAGTTGTGTTTACATGCTATTAAACCCACAAAACCCTGACATTTACCATATTGCAGGTGTGGCAAGGGTAAGTTTAACGGCATAAACACGCTGTAAGTAGTCTGTCATATTTCTTGTCAGCCGAGGTCCTTCCTCCGCCAGAGACTCGATATCTCGCGTCTCTATAATTGAATTGCTAGCGAGCCACAAGAGAGAACAGTACGCAGCAGCACTGTGAGAAAAGAGGAGCGTGCTACTGGAAAAAAGGCGGGAGAGGTGAGGAAGCGAGGGGATGGAACTATATAGAAATGTATGGAGGGTAGGAAGGTAATATGAAAAATAGGAATAAATGAGGGAGAGAAGACATGAGAGAAATGGGAAGAGAGTTAGAGCTAGAAAATAGAGAGGACTTGAGAATGAAAAATAAAATTTGAAAATTGTACTCTGTGAACATAAGAGTCTGTCTGTGTAACCTATGGGACACACATTTCAGAATACAGGAGGTTGCCTACTTCTCAGGAGGTGCCAGTAGTGATTTTGTAGCTACACTGGTCAGTTCTGCCATAACCTACAAAGTTTATAATTGAGGCAAGAAGGAAGTTTCATCACTGCATGTATTCATATAATGATCTATTGTATCTAAATTGTTTAGTTACAGATGGGGCCTGTTTGGCTGAGCCGGCCTTGTATATGTCTTGAATACTCCAAAAGTGAAATCTTCATGGTTTCTGATCCTGTTTGGAAGTTTTGGGAATTCCTGCCCACCAGCATAATAGCCGAAAAATGTGCAGACCCAAGGTCGGATATCTCACCAATAAAGTTCCTGAAAGATATCTGTTCACCATTTATTAAAAACTGTCATATCAATTTTGGGTGGTCTGGCCCTGAATTCATTAAGGGTCCTGGTAATTCGTGCCTACAGAAAGGTACACAAATAGAGGGGAATTTATCAAAACTGGAGCAAATAAAATCTGGAGCAGCTGTGCATGGCAACCAATCAGCTTCTCTCTTTCATTTTCAAATCTTAACTGAACAAACTGAAGAGAGAAGCTGATTGATTGCCATGCACAATTGCTCCAGTTTTGATAAATTCCCCCAATTGTATATTATTTGTAGTCAGAGCCCCACTGAATACGAATCTGAAAAGAGAAATCACGAACCTGACTACATAGACCTGGGGTGTGCCGTGGTCACTATGGTCAGTATGCAAAATAAGGGGGCATACTTAGAGTAGATGTTGATGAAAGGGCGAGGAGGGTGGGATGACACCAACACGCCGACGGGTGTTGGCTAACTAGCTAGCCTACCACTAGTCCGAAAAGAAATGAACATTATTGTATATATTATCTGAATATATGGGAACCTGACTTGGCCTAGTGGTAACTCTGTAAGCCGTTTAAAAAGGGATTTTTGTAGGGGAAAGAAGTATTTTAAAATTGAATATGCCTGTAATAGGAAGTATTATTTTATTATTTATATGTTTTGAAATCCTTGACTCTATTTAATAGTTTGTTCCTAAACATAGGGGCAGATATAATATAATTGATCATTACATATTCAAGCTCTGTTTCCTGTTTGGTAGAGCTGTACACTAGTTACCCCTTGCTGATCCTCTTATTTGACTTTACATCTATTAGGCAAGGTTTATTGCACTGAAAAGAATGAATTAAACAAAGCACTCTGTGGTCTCTAGTGAAGTGAATTCTCACAATGCTCCTGGTAGCTAGAGACCATGTGATCTTAACCTAGGCTTTAGGTCACATGAGGAAGCTCACAAGCATTGTTTTTATTTATTAGTATTGAGAGAGATGCTTTTTACTTTATGTTGAGATTTGGTAATGTTTATATGTCCCCTATTGATTCATCTGAATGTTAAAGACAGATAATAATACTGAATAGTCTAATTTCACTACACCAACAATTATTATTACTAGTAATACTAAATCTGTATTCATTTCAAGAAGATATGTTGCCAACAATGCCATACATTGCAAATTAGTCCCAGAACAAGCAAAGATCATGTAGCAAGCATTGGGTGTATTTATGGCTGAAAGAAGGATACCTTGACTTGAAAAGAAGCTAAACAAACAAAGGCCCAGAGTCCCCTCTCAATTCGAAAATACTGTCCCTTTTGTGCTTACATACATGGTGAAACAAGAGAAAAAAATAGGATTCCAGCATTCCCCATGAGAGTGATCCAGAGAGAATAAGCACTAGGCAAAAACCTTGCTATGAAAAAAAACTAAAAAAAAAAAAAAAAAAACAGAAAACCACAAACGTGGAACTTCAATTAATTTAAAGCTTCAATCAGCAAAGGATAAATCCGTCACAGATCTAATTACTATGGCTCTCCGAAGGCCGGGGACAAGACGCCAATCTCGTGGCTGTTTGAACAGCGTGATGAACTGGGGAACGATGGATATCAAGTCATTTTGTTTAATTTATAAATGGATTTTCCCCTAATGCTTGAATTATCGTCAGAGCACAATGAAGGAGTAGGGGAGAACAGAGCCATAGTGTCGGCCCCCCTTCCTCCACCATTTTCTGGAATTGAAGCATTGAGCTTAAAGCCTGTTTAGAGTATTTTTATAGATGATGTTGGAGGCTTATCTTATAAAGGTCTGTTGGCTAAGAAAGAAGGCACCAAAATAAAATGCAGATATGTATTCAAATGCCTTGATTTTGCTGCTTCGTTGGTTCTTATCAGATCAGTCGTCATCAGAATCCTTTATTCGGAGTTCGCAGTGTTTCACATTTCTCAATCCACGCCCTTGACCAGCATCCAATGGGATTACACACCCTGAATTAGGGCTGCTAACCAACTAATCAATTAATTGATAATAATTGATCATGAGAATAGTTGTCAACTATTCTCATGATCAATTAGTTGGTTGGATCCCCTAGAGCTCTCTTCCACGCTGGGAGGAGGGCACAGCAAGCAATGGGCAGTTGCAATAGCCAGCTGGCTATTGACTATTGCAATTTGAAATGGCCAATAGCAGGCTGGCTATTGCACCAGCCCACTACCTGCTGTATTTACATTCAGCTGCTGTCTGCGGAATCTTGCTACCGGCAGCTGTCATTCCCTGGCTGAAGCACGTCACACGGTTTACTTTTTTTTGGTGACATTTGATTAAGTTCTATGGGTACAGCGTGGTGCAAGGCGATTGAACCACATCACATCCCGCTGCACTGAAAGATTTTCAGCTCACACCACTGCAAAGTGGTGGTGTGAGCTGTGCTCCTCCGTGACGAGGCAAACTGCCTTGTCTTGCGTTGGGGCTGCGCTGCAAAAAAATGGCCAGTGCATCCCCAATGCATGTGGTGGGAATGGGCCCTAATAGTTGCCAAATAATCATAGGCTCCTCCATCCAACTTACCTGGTTCTGGAGTCTCTGACTGTGAGGATGAAGATGCTGAACTGGCACCATCATCATTGGCACTCTGCGAGAGAAGTCCACGGCCTGGAGGAAGCTTCATGCCAAGTTGCTCAGCCGTCTCTACGTGGTCTCCTGGGTGAACATAATCAAACATGCTGCTTCCAGTCAGCTCCACCTGCAGAGAATAAAAGATCATTATAGACTTTGATGACAAAACAAGAACTCACAATCAATAAAACCTGGCTGCGACAACAATGACATTAACAAAAAGTGTATATTTGTTTTAGACCATCATAAAGTAAGCAAGATATATATTTAGTTCCACATGTGTCTTGAAAACCAGGGGTAGACCGTATGCACTCAATGGGACTCCAGCATGTTGGGCAAGATGTTAACATATGATATGAAGCTCACTGGGTTTTCACGGGTACCCTATAATGGCGGTCCCTACAAATTGTAAATCACGGGGTTTTGGAAAAGATTTGGTGTCTGGAACCGGAATAGGTGTAGATATGTTCAGTGCAGATATGGGAGTGTGGGTTAGTGTAGTTCTGACTAGAGATACAAACTGTGCATTAACCTAGCATTGAAATCAGCATCGAAAGCTACTAATACATGAGAAAAGGTTACACCTAAAGAATGTCAATCAGCACGTATGCTGACCTGCGGTTTCCAATGTTGATAAAAGTCATGGAGGGTCATTATATCTGAAAGGATGAGTATTTTATATATACATAAAATCTCTGAGTGAAAAGTCAGATCATTTAGAGAACTGTCACTGGGATAGTAAGTCCTGCATCTTCAAACAAACATGAGACTTCCTATACTGCACTCATAAGCATGCCTGCACCAATTCAGAAGAATGCCTGCACCAATTCAGAAGAATGCCTGCACCAATTCAGAAGAATGCCTGCACCAATTCAGAAGAATGCCTGCACCAATTCAGAAGAATGCCTGCACCAATTCTGAAGAATAAATATTTTAGCTACAATGGTAAAAGGAATACTAAACATTATGTAAGCACATATAGAAAGAGATACTACAGTATGTGAGATAACATGTATAGATACCTAAGCAGAGATAACATGTATTGAAACATGTATAGATATCTAAGTAAAACCTACGTTTTATGACCATTAGATATCTTTAAGGAGAAGAGGTGGAGGAAGAGGCATATCCATTCCTACATATAGCTGACTGTCCAGGAGTCCAGATAAAATACACACTGCAGACAGTCTGTTCTTAACCTTTGCATGATTTAGAATGCAGTTCTTGATGGCCCATTGCCATTAGCACTTAAGCATGCTCACTAAATATGAAGATAGGCTAATGTAAAGAGCATATCCCTCTATCAGATATACCAAAATGTACAATTAAATAGTTGTGACCCCAACATAATAAGTTACATGACACAGAGCAGCTAGGGGTGCATGGAAGCCCTGTTAACAAAGTAGGCTGTGCGACTGCATCACTGCATAGCAACTACAGAGGACAGCAGAGTGGCCATGTTATTAACACCAATTTGACACACACAATAGTGATTTTAGCATATTTTGCTGCCCTTTTTGTGGCCAATAGGAGGTTTGATCAAAGAGTGCAGAAAATGTTCCATCGCCAACTGGAACAATTGACTTGTATGCGATGTATGAATAGTCGTCTATTGGTTGCTATGGATTACTGCAACTGCTAATTGATTAAGGCCACTAGTATGCATATAATAATCAACAATTTTGATCTTGCCTGTGCTTCTCCATTAAATCAAGTTGAAACTTTTTGTTTGTTTTTCAAAATATGAGAACATTTGCACCTGTTTCTATGTATAGTTGGATTTTTAAGTGAAACTTGGAGTTGATGAGGCTTTAAGGCTTTGAATTATATGGGGGCTCTAATATTCCAGGTACGTGGCACAGTGCTGGGTTATCATGGCATACTTGATTAAAACTGGGACACGCATGAGGGAAAAAGGTGATATAAAGCACCACTGCAACATTACGGAATCTATGCTTCTTTCTCTGTATCTGCCTTTATTAGGTCTGTATATTTCTCCACTTGGCTCGTAGTTATTAATTTACAGAATCAACGCTGGGAACAGCTTTTGTGATCTCATATTAAATTTCCCCCTGAATCCGCCCTGTGGCAAAAATTACTCACATCGTTAAAAAATATTTAATTAGGCTGCAGTTTATAGCGGGCTCACAAGGGAGATGCCAGAATTAATGTGATTTGCATGAATTCCAGAGCCCTTTTTTTCCAGGCAGAGAAGAGTTGGGAATTGGGTTTTTATCGAGGTCGCTGACACAGACAAGGACAGAAACTCGTGAGGTATACAGAGATGTCACACAATGAAATCCCACGGCATGCCTGAGTTTAAAGCACAGATTACTGACTCTGCACTTTAACCCACCTTACTGCTTTGCTTAATACAGCTCTGACCCAAGAACACACAGCTTTGTCTCTGTATCCCAGTCTGTGATTTATACGCTGTTGTTCACCACAAACCCTGCCCCACCCCCCCTTTAAATTAATCCGAACTGATATCAACAGGCTGTAGTGATGACCTTGCCTTCTACATACTGCCAAATAATTGACAGCCGACTGCCAGACTTTCACTTATAAACCTGTGACCCTTTCATCATATTTCCTCCGTTCGCAGTCAGTGGCAGCTGTGTCATGGGCCAAATCTCACCTTCCTCCTATATTGTCAGGCATTCTCAGTGCAAGCTGCCAAATGTCCATCTATACAAAATGACAATACCAGCTTCCTGTTAAGGTGCCAGATAGTCAATTTGCAGGCAATGGACGTGCCAATCTCCACCCTCTCCAAACTGTAGACCTCCAGACCTCACCTGTAGACGGAGACAATGTCAAAGGTTTTGCCAGTTGTTCTGCCCACCTGGTACATTGGGTGGAACCCTGTACTGGCTCTTTCCTTTAGCCCGGGCGTATAATCACTGACAATAATGATGAAATGCATGAATATGAAGCACAGAACAGAAACAAATCAAGATTATTATTTCATTTTTGTTTAAACAGGCAATTAATGGCGGAGGAGAAATCATAGAGTCCATGTGACAAGCACAATGTGAGCTGATTGGTGGGGAAGAGAGTGGTTGCTAAGCGACAAGTAATGGAATAATTGAAGGAATACTCCTTCTACTGTTAGACAGGTTTAAAAATTGATAGGTTAAACAACCAGCTACATAAACACGTATGTCTCACAATTTATCAGGATTATTTAGGCGAAACCCTTAGGGAAGCTAATATAACTAGAACAGACATGGTTTTGTAGCAAGTCATCTTCTCATTGTAAACAGCAATGTATTAGGAGAAGCTTGTGCTATCCCAGGAAAGTGCAGTATACATTTATTAATCCAAGATAATTTTGTTGTTGTTGTTGCATAAGATGCTATATGTATGTAGATTACCCATCAACGTGAAGGAGGAGACGTATCTTTATAATGCATGGAGGCTTTATTGTAAAGTTGTTAAGTAATAAGTAAAGATCCAGCAAAATAAAATAATGCTTATGGATGCATTGCAAATCATTACGGAGATCAGGGTGAAAAAGTGCAACAACCCTGTGCAATCCATCAGAATTGTCCTTTACTGATCTGGCTTTGATGGTCCACTACACTTTACACATCATTATTGCTGTCTCACTACAGCCTTATAAATTTACCAAAGCTAAACTCTAAGAAGATACAAAAGCCACCATTTAATCCTTTTATACACTCACTAGAAATCATTAACGGGGTGTATTCATAAAACAGCTCTGTGAACATCTGAGTTTTAGATTCATATTGCATTATGGTCACTAAATGGAGCTGGGGAAGATACACATTTCCTATGCTCCTCTTTTAGATTGCAAGCTCGCATGAGTAGAGCCCTCCTAACCATCTTGTCTTGAATTATATTGTAACTGTACTGTCTTCTTTTATGTTATAAAATGCTGCAATAACTGTTGGCTCTATATAAATCCTGCATAATGATAACTCAGATGTATATAAATACACCCCTAAGTGTATTTTATATACAACAGTTACCTGAATCTTGAGTCTTGACATCAGTAATCCCATGCACAGCAGAGGAGAGGGAAGGACAGCACTTCCACATTTCAAGTCCCTAACAGGGAACATGCTTACAGGAGGGGAGGCAACAGGTTACTCCAACATCCATGGTCTAATGATGACCCCTCACTACCAATTTACAGGCTGGGGTGGGACATGGACCAAGCTGTATTTCTTTAACTGTCTCAACTAAGTCTGCAGAGATGTCCAGTGCATGGCTGTGCTGTCTAGCAGAGGTGTCTGGATTACAAGACCAGCTAAAAATAATTACTGGTGGGTAAAATAGTTAACTGAATATGTACATATCTGTCTGCCTGTCATCTTCAATATTTAAGCATTGCACATAAGCTGGTCATACAAAAGGTCAAGATTGTCAAACAATACTTTTTCAGGGCCACCATTGGAAGATTATATGCAGCCTGAATAAATCTGTATGCAAATATTCAGTATAATAAGAAAAATTGAATTTGTAAATTTGTCTAATTTGAAAATAGTTTTGCTGATTGGTGAAGTGCTAATATTCTTGTGCATGAACTAATAATGATCACATTGACAGATTCTAGGAGACAAGCATCACAAAGGCCCAGCCACAAATAAGATACGGTAACTTGGCGCACTCCACTACTTCCTCATAAATGGGAGGGGGGGTCGAACACATAGTAAATGGAGGATGTGCATGTCGAGTGAAGCAAGGATCAAACAAAGGTCTTATGATTTGTTTTTGAACAACCAGATCCTGCTGAGCTTTATGCTGCTTACACGCAGGGGGAACATACTGGCAAGTTAGGCTATTCTGATAATAACTGACCCACTGGCAAGGAGAAAATGACTCCCTGACCAAATGATATGTGTTTAGCAATAAATAGATATTTAACAGCCAGGAGACAAATAAAATTTAGCATTATCGTGAACCCATTTTCCAATGTATTATTAGGATCCAACAACCCAAGAATGAACAAACAGCAAAATCTGCTGATGTACGCTTAGATTCACATGTTTACCTATAGAGGAGAATAAACATCATGTATGGTTAAACAACTACTTTTTTAAAATATAAACCCACATACAGAATAGCTCAGGGATTGAAGGAGGGAGGGATTCGGGCATT